CAAACATGGGAATTAAGAAGGGGTCCTATCTTAACTTTAGGGGCCCCAGTGGTAACTGGTAACCCACTTTACCCGAGACCGGGTGCGGTTCCTAGCCAACTTTGCCAATTTTTCCCTCGCATCCGGGCGCATAGCTCGTGAACCGTAAGTGTTAACCCTATTCCTGGCGGGGGGGCCTCAGGAGCCCCCCTGAGGTTTTTTGGTTATTTCTCCCAAACGCGTTGAGCTAGGAAGCTCAAATTTTCTGACTTTTCCTATAAGGCTTCTACGCAACATGTCTGAAAATTTTGAGTTGATCTGACCTCAGGTCAGGTCACCAGAGGCGGTTTGGTGACCCTACCTCAGAAAAGTTTGCAATCACGCCAGAGCTAGAGTTTTTGACCGATCAATTTCTTCTCTTCAGGCTTTAGTTAGGGTACCAGTATGTGCAATTTGTATATCTCGGAATTTTGATATCGGTGACCTAGGGTCAGGTCAGTTTCGCGACCTCCCCATTATAAGTCAATGGGGGAAAAATCAACTCCCTGTTTTTACCACTAAAACGGGTCGGAATGGCCCCATATACCATACATGACTTCATATACGATCAACCTTCACTACCTTGAGGTCTGTTTTGCTGTTGGGCAGCTGTGAGGTCATGTGACGTCATCAAAGGTCACCAAAGGTTTTTGGCCAATAACTCCGTACAGGAACAAGATACAGACGCGTGGATGGTCTCATTGTGTTCAGCTCGTCAAGACGCATCGAATGATATACATGATGACCTCGAGGTCACGTGACCTGAGGTCAACCTTTGACCTTGACCTTTCGAGGTCAACATATATATCATTCGATGCGGATTGACGAGAGGATCAAGATGATGCCCTTAGTTTGTTCCTATCTTGACTAATTCGAAAGTTATTCGAGAAAAACTCTCTCCATATCTAGCGCCGCCATTTTGACTTTTTCGACCCCTGTGACGTCATCTTTGACCTAACCTGAAAATGACCTTAGTAAAAATTGTAGACCTTGTCCATGCGTATCCGATGCCGTTTACCGCTTGTCGCTATCTTGCTTCGTTCTCGAAATCTCAGGGGGGGCCGAATCGCCCCCCCCCCCCGCCAGTTTCTTGTCCCGGCGGAGCCCGCCAGGAATAGGGTTAAAGCGTCACGGAACAATACATTTGATAGATCCTTGGAAGCTCCCTCTGCGTTGTCCTTAGATTCGAGCTCAGTTCAACAATTTGGCCCACACTGAGAGCAAAAACTGCCAAAATAGACGGATCTTGCAGAAGCATTTGTTCCATTCCTTTACGTACAGGGTGATCCAAAAAATTTGGAACCCCTAACTTAAAATGTCTTTAAGTCCAAAAGTATTCATTTTATTGACAATTTGCAAACATCATAAGAAAGAACGCTCAATTCTCTATAAAATCATGTCAAGTTGGTGCATGTATGCTGAAGTATTGACACACTGTTAGGTTTCGGAATGAGCGTCAGAAAACTGAGTGAAACGAAATCGCCAATTGTTAACAATGCACTGAAATCCGTTAGCACTCCATCTGTTGTTTTTTACGAATAATACCACATCCACATTCAATTTTATTACATAAGAGTTTACGCGGAAGCACACAATAAAACAGATACACGCATCCTAGCTTCCGCTGTTCATCTCAGCATGTGCTCAAACCGAGCTCCGTGGGCCGTCACGCAGGCCTACAGCCGCTTGCGGACGGCTCCAACTGCGCGGGCCAGCAGTCTCTGGGACAACTGGTCCCAGCAGGCCGTCAGCCTTTCCTTCAGCTCCTCGATGGTGCTGATCCTCTTGACCTCTGTACACCATTCGCTCCAGTTCGCTCCACACGAATAAGTTAAAAGGGTTGAGGACAGGACTCTTCGGTGGCCAGGCATCTGGCTCGATGAAGGCCGGGCAGGCCTGTTCCTGAAACTCGACCACTGAGTGGGCCGTGTGGCACGGAGCACCGAATGACATTTTTTTGCTCCTGTTGAAATTTAAATTAATTACAATAGCACGTGAATGAGCTATGTTTATTCATGAACCTCCGACATGCGACATGGTCAGAACAGCCGAAACCGCAAATCACTGATTTGCGGATGTGTTGAAAACCGTTTCACTGAGTTTCGTGACACAAATTTTATAGGCATATAACTAGGGTATTATTTATAGTAATAGTTAAGTTCAATTAACTTGGTTTTATAGAGAATTGAACGCTCTTTCTAATGATGTTTGCAATTTGTCAATAAAGTAAAAACTTTCGGACTTACAGACATTTTAAGTTAGGGGTTCCAATTTTTTTGGATCACCCTGTATATCTACTCACTCCACGTATGGTAGGCACAGTTTTTACCGTAATTGTCTCTCGTATCGAGAGGCGTTAAATTATCTATAGTAGGACCTATAGTACTATGAACTATAGTCAGCTGTGCATGCTATAACCGAAAAAGGTCATGCTGTGCGTAAACTGATCCGTGTTGTTGGGCTGAAGGCATTACATAATACACTCTTTCATCACTCACTATGTCTTCTTTTAAAGCCATTGTTGAATTTTGGTGCCTTTGGTGACCTTTCTAGTGACTTCTACAGGCTCCTGCACAGACTGGTAGAGGCCATGCTGGTCACTGAGAGGTCACGCTGGTCATAGCTCGGTCTCTAAGAACTTCATGTCGTCGACCTCTGAGGACCCTGCACAGGCTTCGGAGGCTCGACATCGGCCCCTGTAGATCCTATCTCCGGTCTTAGATCCTTGAGGGCTCAAGATGGTCCCCGAGAGCCTCACGTCAGCCTCAGAGCAGATATCGATCTGCCTAGAGTCTTGCGCTGGTTGAGGGCTGATACCCTAAGCTTTAGGAGGGTCCAACTCGGGCTATGAATTCCTCTGATGGCTCCATGTCGCCCTCCAGGGCCTCAGTCCGACCTCTAAGGCCCAATCATGCATAAGTGCTGAATTCTGGCTGTCGATGCCTTCAATGTGGCCTCTGATGGCCCAGCGCCAGTCTATGAAGACCCCGCGCTGGCTTCTGAGGACTCAGCAGTCAGCACCAATCTCAGTTTTCAGAAGACAGGGGGCCCACGCTGGCCTCAGAGTGTCCAACACTGTCCACAGAGGGCCCCACACCGACCAAAGAGGGCCCAGGCTCATACTGGCCTAAGAGGGCCCAAATTGTCATCATAGGGCCCTATATGGCCTCAGAAGGCCCTACTCCGTTGGTCTTACAAGGCCTACGTGCGGGCTTTTAACCCCACACGCCCCCCCCCCCACAGTTGGCCTTTTAGGGTCCCCAAAGCGGCCTCTGAGTGCCCCATGCTAGCCTCCGAGGGCTCGTCCTGGGCTTTCGAGCGCCTTACGCTGGCCTCTTAACCCCTCGGTAGAAATAGGTGTACGAATACTTATGTTTGGGCAGAAATTTTGTATCCTAGCCTGTGCATGTTACATGCAGTGTATACGGTATATGTATGTTACGTGGTGTCATTCTGGCTTCTGAGGTCTGGTTTGCCCCCTAGTCGAAATTCATTAGCCAAGACCCTGAGATACAGTGCCGCCCTCTGAAATGAAAGTAGCTCCCTCTGAACTCGTAGCGACGTCCCTGAAGCCAGACTAACCCCTTCTTAACCCTCGCGGGCCGAGGGAGGAGGGGAAGTTGCACCCCTTACGATTTTTTTCGTGACTGCTCCGGAGCCGTTTTCCTTCGATAGAGAGCTGAAAGTTGGCCTACGTGAGCCCCCATCCAAACCAGACCTTATGACACCTGATTCATTTTCAGGTTACTTCAGGTCCATAGGTGGATAATTGTGCCGAACGGTGGGTGCTCGGGCGCAGCAAATCCGCCGCCGCCCTAGCGGTGACCTTGACCTCCACAGTCTGTTGCGGCTTCAAAGCCAAGCCGGCGTGGAATTGGGAGAGCTCGTGCACCCACAGTTTAGCACAACTCTCCACCTATGGTCAGGTCACTGACCGATGCATAAACCTCTAAAGGTTATAAGTAAACCTCTGCAGTCTGTGCACTGCAGAGGTTGCACTGACAGTGCATGCACTGTCAAAAAATCAAATATCGCAACTTCGCAACGCCGCCAACGCCAGGCTAAGTGTCGGCGAGAATGATGACATTTTCAGAAAGTAACGAGCTCCCGGGTACTCATACTTCGTATATCTTGGGTTTTTCGTACAATCCATCTTGGTTCAGGTCAGTCACGTGACCTCCCCCATTATAAACCTATGCGGGAAATACTGAACTTGCTCTTTTTGCAACATATAGGTATTCTAGAATCCGCCCAAAGACGCATAGAAATGTGTTTTCATACGCTCGTCAAATGATTCCGTGCCTTATTTTGGCATTTTTTACTTTTTTGACGTCACAGAGAACGTCACAGAGGACGTTCTTTTGGGTCATAATCGTTTTTCGTTAGTAACTTTCGACCAAATTAAGCTAGAGTCGGGAAAGGCACCATTGTGATTGCAATGAGCTTCCAAATCGATTGATATGCAACCTGACCTAGTCCGAACAGTGTCCTGAGACTCCTAAGGGGGCTTGACCTGACGGCCTTTGTGTCAATCTTGATTGTGACATTTATCGAACAAAAAGTACCCACAACATTCGACGCAGCTTGAGAGGAATACGATTATGCCTAAATTTTGCTCCGTGGCCATTTGTCTGCAAAATTATTTGCCAAAAACAAAAACCCGACTTTAGGGTAAGTTACCTGACCAGAGGTCACCAGATGACCTGAGACCCTAAATTTGAATATCAATCGCTGCGTCTCGTGACGGCCGTCAAACTCGTTTTTTTTCCGCTGGACTGGAACAGACCCTATGAATGCCGCCCCCGCAGGCGGAAAATGTGCCGCCCCTGTGCTTGACTGCCCCCACCCTATCGAAGTCCTAGATCTGCCCCTGGCAGGAAGACGATTGGGTTCATTCTATCTTTGCAACCGTCCGCTATGTGGCCGATGTCTCGCATAGGGCAGTAGACCGACCGGCGCTTCGCCCCGCCCTCCCACCGATTCAAGGTTACGCTACCGGACTGGTATAAAGGCAGGCCGGTCCGCCGTTCACAGTATCAGTCGCCAAAGACCCAATCTGCAAACATGAAGGTCAGTTTCCTCTCCTCAGCGTATTGCGGCTGGTGTTATGTGCTTGGTCTGTCATTTACATGATGAGTTATTTACTAGTGCTTTGTAAAGGCAGCCACATTAGTCGACCACCTTATAGACCACACATTTTACTCTTTCTTTTCTTAGATGTTCTTCTGGACGTTCAGAGCTAGAATGAAGGAATACGAATATCTAAAATTTAAGCCACACACGTCTAACTTTTATCTTTGTCTTCCAGTTCTTCGTCGTTGCTGCCCTGGTGGCCGTGGCTGCCGCCGCCCCCTCCACCCCCTACAGCCCCCGGCCGGCCTACCACCCGGCCCCGGCCTACCACCAGCCGTCCTACAAGGAGCCCGCTCAGCCGTACCAGTTCGACTACGCCGTCAACGACCACTACTCGGGCGCCGTCTTCTCGCAGAACGAGAACAGCGACGCCAAGAACGTCAACGGCTACTACTCGGTCAACCTGCCCGACGGCCGTGTGCAGACGGTCAAGTACGTGGCTGACCAGCAGGGCTACGGAGGCTACAACGCCGAGGTGACCTACGAGGGCGAGCCCCGCTACGACGAGTACAAGCCCAGCTACAAGCCCAGCTACAAGCCCGCTTCGTACGCCGCTCCGTCCTACCAGCCCGCCTACAAGCCCGCTTACAAGCCCGCCTACAAGCCCGCCTACCAGCCCGCCTACAAGCCGGCCTACAACTAAATGCTTTAAAACGTTTCTTTATTTATATCATTTGTGATATCATCTGCTTACTGTCCGTCATGTGTAAATAGTTGTGAGTACAAAAAGAATACATACATTTTGGTGCACTTATTTCATTGTGTTTATGATAGGAGCATGGATAGGAGCATGAAGAGGAGCATGATTTCCAGAGAAAATAAGCCCGTAACATGCCTTTTGGGGCGACAAACGAGCGAGCGAGGGAGTGAACCCGTCACATGCGCTAGTGGGAGGGGTTCAACACCTTTTAATTCGTTAAGTGCTTGCTGAATGTAAGACATTTATTTTAATCGTTTAATTGTTTTTTGAATGACCTCCTTACAAAATTATACTTTTCATTCATGTAATTTTGTTTTAGATGAATTTTCGGCCACGGGCCATGATCACATCAATGCCAAATATAAGAATATTGGAAGACAAAATACAAATTAGGTACAAGTCGAATCATCGTCAGTTTCTATCTTTCTACTTTTCGCGTGATAAGAATGACAGGCACTTTCACACTTGGTAATGGGTACACTCAAGTAATCGTTACATTCGCACATATCTGCATGGAAACATGAAAAAACACACTTAACCTCATCCTATCACTATAAAGGTAACACTTTGCTTTCCATGATACACATTTGGCACAAAATACTTAGGTATGAATTACTGACTTATGAATGTGCGTAGGCATGATGTCTGCGGCGAGTGATAACAGCTACAAAATGTGCCAAGAAGATATGTTTCGGTTGAGAACCGGTCTGTGTTTGCGAATTTGGATAGATTCACATATTTTTCTGTGTGGATGGTCACTTGTCTTTTGCAGGATTTCTACCGATAAAGGTGTGTTCCCTGAAGTGTCAAGATACTCCTGATGAGTGACGGTAAAATGATCTCCGGTGGGCGTATCCGGTGTTTTGTTTTTAGCGTTTCTAAGGTGTTCGTTAAATCGCAGCCTGATGGGTCTTTTTGTCTCTCCTATGTATGTGACATCCTCCCCCCTTACTTTGCACAGCGCACAGGTGATTTTGTAGACTACCCCAGAAGTTAAGCATTTACCTTTAAGACCAGACTCACAAGCATGACATGTCCGTGTGCCAGACGGGCATTGTGGCTGAGAGAAAGCTGAACGAGTTAGAGCGCTTTTGAGAGTTTTAGTGTTACGCCATGACCATGACTTGTACCTAATTTGTATTTTGTCTTCCAATATTCTTATATTTGGCATTGATGTGATCATGGCCAGTGGGAGGGGTGCTTGAGCTTCCAACTGACTTGTGAACGGCACCCCACTAATCGGTTTATAGCAGTGTGCCAAATTTGAGCACAATTGGCCCAGTCGTTCGTGATATATGGAAGCACCGCTCTGCACGTGCACACCTGCAAATTGGGTCTGATCTGAATTTTGTACGGCACAATACTCGCCGTTCCCTAACCGACCCGCATACCAACTTTGAACGCAATCAGCCCATCCGTTCTCGAGATCCGAGGCCTCTTGCACCAAAATCCTCTTGCACCAATGCTTGGATTATTTTGCAACGTATACCCAGTCCAAGCCTCAATTGTAACAATTTGCGTGCAAAATTTAGCAAGCACATGTAGGAGTATGTATTGGGCTATTGCGAACAAATATACCACCGTTAGATTAGCTTATTCTGAAACCGGTTTTTCGATTTTACCTAGCTAGGTAGTTTGGTGCAAGAGGCCTCTGAAATATACCCATGCACGTGCGCACGTGCAGTATATCACTCCAACCGTTACGTTTCGATATGCATTTTCCGGTGGGGTGCTACGTGCATGAACAGTTTCAGTGCAATCAACCCACTATTTGCCGAGTTATTGTAACTGAAACAATATTCACAACTCTTTATTTTGCATTTGCTAGGGGCAGGGGAGTCACCCACACGTATCGAGAGTATCCGATGCTTGGTAGAAGAGGTGCAACTACCCTAACAAATTACCGGAAGTTAATCACCCCAGCGGCAACTGATTTACACGCATAGCAGAAACGCTGCTTCATCAAAACAACTTAAACACCCTTGACCTTTCACGTGGCACGTGGCACGACGGTAACCTAGCCATTGCCGGCCGAGGGGGGAGTGGATACCGCCCCCCCCCCACTCATATTTTTCCGCTATATCTCGAAATACACCGGCGAAAAAGAGCCGAAACTCGGCATACCTGATCTTTGATTCCATCCGAATCTTTTGACACCACATACATTTTCAGGTCAGGTCAGGTCATTCAGCTATGGCGTCATAATTATACCTCTGCACTGTCCTAAATTGTCGTAACTTCGCAACACCCTCAGTGCCGGAGAGGCTTTCATAAGGATATGAAACATGTAGAAAGTAGTATCATCCAGAAGTTTCACAACGTGTATATCGGATTTTTCCTGCAGGTCACATGAGTTCAGGTCGGTCACGTGGCCTGACCATATATGTCAACGGGGAAAATAAAAACTGCTATTTTGGCGCCGGTAACGATCTCATATGTACTATCTCAAGCATACAGAATCGGGGTTTCATGCACTCCTTGCCAGGCCAGATACTTCGCTTTTGCATTGTTGACCTTGTGTGATGTCATTTATGACGTCACTAGGGTCATAATAGCTTTCGTTAATAACACCTAAGCAAATTGCGGTAGGGAGTCAGGAAAGTCAACAATAAACTCAGAAAGATCTGCTAAATCGAATGATATGCTATATGACCTCCTTCGACCAGCTTCGTGACCTGGGGCTCTGACCTGATTTTGACCCGAGGTCAACACCTTAATTGACCTCATCCGAAGCAAAAAGTAGCCCATTCGACGCGCCTGAGCAAGGCAAACCGATACTGCTAACATCGCGGCTCTGCGGCTGTTTTTGCGAAGTTATTTAATAAAAAACCGAATCAATGTCTTGGGCCACTTGACCTGACCTCAGAGGTTACCGGCTAATCTGAGACCTTAAAATCTGGTACCAGTCGCTGCGTCTCGTAACAGCGCACACAGTTGTTTTTCTGCGAGGGTGTAGCTCCATCAGGAGTGAAGCGGCGAGGGGGCTAGTACCCGCCTCTCCTAGCCGTCGTGTAGGTATGTAGAAAACGTATAGGTCCGGCGAGGGTTAAACTGATATGGTCAACTTGCTAAAGAACAGACTTGCTATCTTTCAAGATTTACGCTCACGCAACACCAGCAGGAAGATAGACGTCTTGACAAAATACAAAAAAAAAATATTTTCTAAAATTATCAGGAAAGGCATAAAATAAAAACTTATGTCATTTTTCTGAAGTAGAAACGAGAACAAAGCCGTGCATATTTAGATATAAAAATATGAAATAGAACGTAACTACATGGTGATGTGCCGCCTTCATCGTCGCGTGCATGGTGTGTCATTTATTTTGATCCATGACTGTCACTATAAATCAGCTGCAGTGCCTAGTTAGAAAAAACGCCCGTAACGTTACCGCAATTTTATTTCTGGTCTTCCATCATTGTAACATTTCGAAATTCTTTTAGTTTCTGCCAAGCGAGGACGTGTATCTTATCCCTCGCATGTAAGCGGCGTTTGCCAGCTTCTAATGTTAAGGGGGGTCGGTTGGACCTCCCCCCTTGCCGTTTGGCCCCTGATCGAGCTAGAGCTTCGCGGAAAACACGAGCGTAGTGCCCGTGATGAGTGGAAGCCGATGATACCCAATTTTAAGGTCCTAGGTTTCTGGTTGACCTTCCAGGTCAGGTCAATGACCCAAAGTTGGGAAAATCGGGGCCAGTGAGATAGTCGTAAAGTGTGGCTGCTAAGGGGTTTTTCGGGGTGCTGATCACGAATATCGTGTTAGTTTTGATCATGGATGATGTCTTCATGCATTTAGACCAGGTCAGGTCAGGTCAGGTCAGGTCAACCAGTAGGGGTCGTGACGGGATTTCGTAGTACGTGTCAACCGCCTCTGACAGCTTCGTAACATGTTACGAAGGCACCAAAACTACTTCGTAAATGTTCAAATGGTTGCTAAATTCGAATTCAGCTCCAAAAACTAGCCTAGAAACATGTACAGCTCGAAAAAGTGAACCGAGGTCACCAAAGGTCAGTGACCTGACCTGACATTCAGGTGGCCTTGACATCCACCCAAATGCATGGGAGCAACATCAAATCTCATGTTTGAGCGTTTGAAACCACGAGAAGCTTGCAAACGCGCGGCTAATGCGAGCCGACATACGCCGAATCGCGATTCCGGCCAAACATGGCCTCGAGAAATAGGTCACAGGTCAAAGGTCACTTGGGTCAGGGTCATGAAATTTTCAGGGGAGGTGTAAAATTGATCAACTCGAGTGTACTGAAAGTTTCGTTGCGATCGGCCGCTTTTTGCGCGAGTTATTCGCGAAAAACCATGGGGGGGTCCATCCGACCCCCTCTCCTGCACATGCGAGGGTTATATGACGTATGTATGACGGACGTATGCCTGATTGACTGACTGATTGTCACTGCATCAAATGTATCTTCAATAACATATAGCGACTGACTAGCATGAATGCTGGCATTTTACGCATTGTCCTTAGCGAAAAAGTCAACCCAGACAAGTACGCTAGAAAATAAAAACGAAAAGAAAGAGAAACAATTAATCGACAGAGAGCACATAAAAATATCGCACCTTAGAGTCAAAACAAGTTCCATCACACACAATTCCTTTTCTCTGCATCTTCATATATACACTGAAAGCATTTTTGCACTCACATCGCCGTATTTACACCACCTAAAGGTGTAAATAGCAGACTGAGCACTATACGCAGGTCTATAACACGGCAATTACGCTTAGAAACTGATCAAAGCGAAATTACACCTCGTTGGTGTGCAAATCACACTCATGCAACACCTTATGGAAGTGCAATTCTGAACTTTAACACCTAGCTTTTGTTCATTTACGAATAACACCTTCCTGTAGTGTTGTTATGAATTCGTGGTCTTGTTCCTTTTTTTACCTTCACCCGTGCGTATACTAATGTAACCTACCTTTCCTACCCCAGTAAAACTTTCCTTTATTTGCCCGCCCTTTTCCTGAATCCTTCACAATTAAGTTGTGACGTAGCGCTTCCATTTTTCACCGAGCCGATTTCGTTTTGTTTTGATCCGCCCATCT